CAGCTGGGAAATTCACACACAGCCTCTGATATCTTGATTAGAAGCCCTTCCTGTCTTCTTGCCTACTCTGGGAAGCTCCCAAATCCTGCACCACTGAGGGCTCAGTTTGCCCTCTGCCTGCTAGTACCAAGGTCTGAAATTAGTCTTATTTCTTGGGATATTGGGATTTCTTGGGACATTGGGATTTGTGAATGAAATGCTGAAATTTATATTAAAAATAGTAATAGTGTTTTGATACTGAGAACAAGAGCGAACAGCATAGTCACTTGACAAGTGATTGTTCTGAATTAGTACCAAGATTGGATGTGTGTCGTGAACTCTCCACACCTCACTCCCAGGCCTCGCTTCAGTGTCCCGGTTGGAAGAGAAACCCCTTGATTTATTTTGTGGACTTGAGCAGTTGAACACCACATGGAATGCCAGTCGGTTGCAATGGCCACCTGGTTTTTCTTTAAGATATCCCCAGTATCCAGCTGTGATTCTGGCTTTGGGTCATTGGCAACTATCAGTGCAGATGGACTGTTTTAAGGATTGAGTCTGTTTCTTAGCAATATATAGGTGGCCAATTACACTAAACTAAAACCTCATGAAGTCTTTGGATGTTGACAGTGCATATCTAGAGAAATTTTTTTTTTTTTTTTGTCTTTTTTCATGTCCAGCAACGGATCGCAACCCTCAGTGTAACGCCCGTACCTGACCAGGACCGGCAACAGGATCGCAACCCTCAGTGTTGCTCCCACACCTCGCTCAGCCAGTGAGCGGGAACCGGTCTGCATGCGGGATCCGAACCCTCAGCGGGAGCGCTGCCGCACTCTCAAGCGGCGCACTGTAGCAGTGCGCCACCGGGCCGGCCCCATATCTAGAGAAATTTTAAAAGCCAAAGGCTATATCAGCCCCAACTCAAGTAGGGTTATTTATCTAGTAACCATTTACAGTTGCTGTACTGGGACTGCCTAAAGCCGGCCGGCTCCCTGCCCACACGGTGCACAAGGAGTAGGATGAACGGGCTTGTGGTTATAGACACTCACTGTTTCACAGTGGAGGGTGTTGTGGAGGATCTAGGGGATGAGCACACATCAGGGTGGGCCCAGCTGCCTTAATAAGATAAAGTCACCACTTTGTCCAAAGCTCAGCTGGGAGCACCTGTTGCACAGAACCTGGGGGAGTTCTTTCATTTTCTCCCTGTATTCTTGCAAGACCCCTTGGCACAGCTAGAGTAAGTACTTCCATAGGAAAATGATCACAATGTTGAGCTAGCAGATCATCCTGAAATTTGACATGCATGCTTCCCCAGACTCTCCGAGGACCTGGCCACCCAGCCCCACCCCGCTGCGACTGAGGTGTGCCCGGCCACCTGCATCGCCAGCTCTGCCCTGGCCCCTCACTCGGCACATGGTAGACAGTATTTAAGGCAAATGTGTT